TATATATAGGAAGTAAAACTTGGCATTAGTTTTCTAAAAAAAAATTGCCGTCGAACAAAACATTTTCTCTGAGATGTTGTGAGGCTCATACGAATGCGGTGAGTCATGCGATGCTGGGAGTAAGTGGGCATGTGTGTGAGCATACAGTGTTAATATGTGAGTGTGAAAACATTAACATGTGTGCCCTTCTGTACGAACACACGCAGGCTCAAAGTGCCTTCACATTTACACTTTAAATGATGTTTTTTAAGACTCGGCTCTCGGTGTAAAAGCATGTTGTATGAAGCGGTCGGTCCAAACCCTTTTTCTATTTCTTCATGTGGATGTTTTCCTTTGATCGTGCGCCTCTGCTTTCAGAAAAGGAAACAGAAAGAGCTGAAGGAGAACTGGGCACGATGGACAGCCTGTCTCCAAGGGCAACCCATAACTGCTGTCAGGTTTGGACTGCAACACTAACAGCCTCTTCATTATTCGGCTTTTCTTTCCGTTGATTAAATGGCTGCAGAATTGTTTCGAAAACAAGACCACAGCTAACATGTCCCCCAACGTGCTGCAGACGTGATCTGGAATCAGAACTTCAAATAAGTACAGGAGTTTGTTTGGGGTCGATTTGGAGGTGTGTCAAGTCAGAAAACAGAACAACCGTATTGAAAGTAAAACTACAATTTAATCACAGGAACATTTTCCTATCAGGAATTAGAGGCTTTCAGAGAGTCGGTTCCTTGAGCCTCTGCATTTTCCCTCTAGAACAAGTTGATTATAAGCACAGTGTGACAGAACAGAGCTGGAAAGATTAATCAAGTGACTCATTTCAGAAACAGAAAGTCCACTATGTATTTACAAATAATAAAAATGCCAAACAATGCACACAAAAAATTTAACCGCCCATTGTTTGGAACATGCTGTCAAGACCGGAGCTACTGTCCCATTTTATTTTGTGAAGAAAGACCGTCCATCATTAAACAGAGGTGGAGGCCTCCGTTTTCAGTTGTCCCCCTCCTACAGCGTGGCTATTGCCAGTATCACTCCACCCCCTGTTAACAACAGGTGTTAATTAGGTGTCAACAATAGCCATGTGATGTGAGTATCAGTCACATGGAGGCTGGGCTTAAACGCCTGAATTTTGCCTGAAACTCTCAGACTGAAGAAGTCTCTTGGAGGAGAGACGAAACGTTTCATTAAAGAACCCGTCCAGAAGACCTATACAATTTTTTTTCTTTTTTTCATTTTATTGTTGTCTTTAAAGGAATTGTAAAATGAGAGTCTCCTTTATTTCCATTATAGACAACCCAGGGCCAGGTGGTTTGATTTATGTGGCCCAAATCTGTCAGTGCCACAACATGCCTAGTTATAGTTTGGTTTATGTGGCCCAAATCTGTCAATGCCACAAATGGCCTAGTTGTAGTTTGTTTTATGTGGCCCAAATCTGTCAATGCCACAACTGGTCCAGTTGTAGTTTGGTTTATGTGGCCCAAATCTGTCAGTGCCACAACTGGTCCAGTTGTAGTTTGGTTTACGTGGCCCAAATCTGTCAATGCCACAACTGGCCCAGTTGTAGTTTGATTTACGTGGCCCAAATCTGTCAATGCCACAACTGGCCCAGTTGTAGTTTGGTTTTATGTGGCCCAAATCTCACAATGCCACAGCTGGCCTAGTTATAGTTTGGTTTATGTGGCCCAAATCTGTCAATGCCACAACTGGCCCAGTTGTAGTTTGATTTATGTGGCCCAAATCTGTCAATGCCACAACTGTCCCAGTTGCAGTTTGGTTTATGTGGCCCAAATCTGTTAATGCCACAAGTGGCCCATTTGTAGTTTGGTTTTGTGGCCCAAATCTGTCAATGCCACAACTGGCCTAGTTGTACTTTGATATATGTGGCCCAAATCTGTCAATGCCACAACTGGCCCAGTTGTAGTTTGGTTCATGTGGCCCAAATCTGTCAATGCCACAACTGACCTAGTTGTATTTTGATATATGTGGCCCAAATCTGTCAGTGCCACAACTGGCCCAGTTGTGTTTTGGTTTATGTAATGCTGGCCTATGCATGGATCACCTCTTGAAAATTACAGCTGGGCCACCAAAGAGCTGTCATTCTTTGTTGTATCTGAGACAAGTGTTTGTGCATTGTGTGGACCAGAACTGGGCCAGACAATATTTGGTCTGTAGGAACTTATATTATTTCAGTTACTATGGACAAACTAGCCTGCCTTCAAACTTATTTATATATTTACAATATATGCTCCACTCCTATTCCCCATCAGCCACAATAAAAACAACAACAATATAGTGACAAAACATGCTCAGTTGTCAAAAGACAATCTGCTGCACTCAGTTTCAGGTAGTTCTCCCACTCAGATCCACATACTGTTTGGGACTTTTATCAACATGCAACAAAATCTGTAACAGACTCACAAGACAAAAAAACAAGACCTACCATTTCCTTGAAGGAATACATACAGTATTATCTTCTGCCTTTTGTGCCAAAGTTTAAAATAAAAATAATCTTAAAATGAGAAATGACAGAGTTGTAAATGTTAGCCAAATTTCATGCTCAGTATGTCCTGATGATGACTCTCAGCTACAACCACAACAAATGTTTTACTCCTTCTCTGCACAGAGTTGTGGCTATTTTTGTGTTGGCTAATGTCTATTAGCCGTGGCGGCCATCTTGATTTGCATGTTGATTATAAAATGTGATTTGTTGTAGGAGTCAAGTGAATACTCTGTTGGTTTCATTAAAATCCATCCAGCGGTTCATGAGATATTTTGCTAACAGAGTTGACCATGACTGTGAATTTATGGATTGAAAATATGACCCAAATATTTTTGGATTTGATTGTTTACTAACAGACAAACAGGGTTTGTTTCAACACTGTTTAGTTGAGTGTACACTACAGGAAGTGTTCTTACGGTTCGTAACACATTTTAACTCTGACATTTGCTTCAACCAGATATAATTATTTTATATCATTAATCACAGTATTATTAACTGTTCGGTTTGTTACAGCACATATGCTGCAGAATTCTGCATCCTGAAGTAAAACAGGGATCTTACTTGGATATTTTCCACCTACTTAAACCTTTATGCACTCCAATCACAGCCCACTCACAGCAACAGTAGTGCCCACACACTGTGGGACACCCCCAGATATTGATTGTCCACGTACTGAAACTGATCAGAGCTGCTTTTGTTGTTAAAATACGTTCAACATCAGGCTAGAGCTCATCATGATATAGTAGGCTTTGATTTAAAGCTCAGAAACAACAAATAAAGTTAAACTCATGGTTATAAACAGTAAGTGTTGTGACAACTGTGCACAAACAGTACAAATTAAAAGTGTTGCATACCATTGGTGAATGCAAATCACCTACTCAGAGTAATGGCTCAGCTCCGTCAAACTTCAGCTCAATATCTGTATATTTTCTGTGTTTTAGCAACTTTTTTTTAGCTAAATTCACATTTTTGTGTTAATTTCAGCTTCTTGCTGTTTAATTCAGCTAACGTGATCTTTTTTGTGCTAATTTAAGCTATTTCAACTATTGAATATCGTATGTTTCAGCTATTTTAGGCTAGCTTCAGCTTTTTTAGCTATTCAGCAAAAAAAAATTACACTGTATTTGCACAGTAAATGCACATTCTCTGTTTACTTTAACTACAGTTTTTCAAACTTACCTCCTGTATTTCTTTTTGAGTGAAATCACCTGCTGACTGGTCTTTCTCTTCTCAGGAACTACTTTGGGGAGAAGGTCGCCCTGTACTTCCTGTGGTTGGGATGGTATACATATCTTCTCATCCCCCCTGCTCTGATTGGGATCCTTGTCTTTCTCTACGGCCTCAGTTATTTCAACACCTCCCCACTCATGTGAGCACCCGGTTTCTCGCCACGGCTGTATTGTGTTAAAAGCATTTCCTCTCTAATCACTCCTCCTTCCTGACTTCTCCTGTCTTGCAGAAACGAGGTCTGTCACTCTGACACAGTCATGTGTCCACTTTGTGACCAGGGCTGCAAGGCGTGGCGGCTCTCAGACACCTGCACATACGCCAAGGTAATAACACACGTTTACCACCATCAAATATCTCAATGACAGGAATCACAATGTCAGTGCTCAACACTGATCTTATCTGTTCACAGCTGAGTTTACTGTTTGACAACAACGGCACGGTGATCTTTGCTATGTTCATGGCAATATGGAGTAAGTCTGTCAGTATACACACAAATACACATGTTCAAGCAGGTACAATCTATAATCCAACACTGTTTTACTTCTCTAAACAGTTTAGGCTGGACAGGGACACTTTGTTCAAATTGATTCTTTTATCGGCCGCAAATTAATTTTATTTAGCTGCCAGTTTTTCTCATCTCTGAGACGTTGCCAAAGCGAAATCACAGAGAGAACCTACACCTCTTGGCTACCTTCACATCTTAACAAACCGTCGCCATCTGGCTGTGGGAGGGGTCGAGGCAGTAATTTATATAATCTGTAAGGATATAAGCTTTGTTTATATTAAAAATAATGTTGGAACAGTTTATAAAAAATGTATTTGACAAAAGAAGGAAAGGGAAAAGAAAAATGCCGACAATAACAAGATATGATTCGTTTTTGCCGAACTGTAATATTTTTTGGTAAGAAGAATTAAAAGGAAAAACTGTGACAGCAGAATAATTTCTAAACGAAACCTTTCAGTCTTGTACTATTAGATGAAGAGTAACTATGCATATCAGTGTAGCACAGAGGTCTGCAACTTTTACAATCAAAAGAGCTATTTCTGCTCTTTGACTCGCTAAGAAAATGTGTCCAAACCTGCTAAATAGGCTACAACTGTGACTAACAACTGGTGGCCCGTGGGCCACTTGCAGTTTGTTAAAGGGGGGGCCTTTCTGGCTTGTGACATTGACACTATAAAACTGAAAATATATAGCACATTTTCAAATTTATTACAATTTTTACACTTAAGGACAAAAAAGAGACCATAATCTTGTGAACAAGAAAAACAAACTATGCAGATATAGACTTGGCATAAAAAGTAAGTAAATTATAAGTGGCCAAAAAGCTGATAGCATGATTTAATCAACATGTTTCACTCTTTGTATTAGTAGTATTGATCACAAATTTGCAAAATAATTGACTGCTCAAGTTTGCATTTTCTGTTGTGAATATAAAATCCAAAACATTTAATCTCATGTTAGCTTTGATCAAAGCTTTAAAGAGCCACTGCAGAGGGACCAAAGAGCCACGTGTGGCCCCAGAGCCGCATGTTGAAGCCCCTTGCTCTAGCACCTCCTTTCTTACTGTGGATTTTAGGAGTGTTATTTCATGCTTTTCAAAGATGCACACAGTTATTCAGGGCCTTCGAATAAGAAAAATGTACTTGTCTTTCTGCAGCGACGCTGTTTTTAGAGTTCTGGAAGAGACATCGAGCTTCTTATGTCTGTGAGTGGAAGGTGTCTGAATGGTCTGAGGAAGAGGTAGAGTTCATTACTGCATTCAATCAGTAACATTCCGAGTCTGTAAGATGTGTTTTCTGTATTATTTGTTTATTCATTTTTTTCATTTTAATTTAATTACAGGAGGAGCTGATCCTGGAAATTGTGAATAATGCCGACTGTGAACCGAAACCTTTCAGGCACTCCTACATTCACAGCACTCTGGTTCTGATCTGCGTAACACTCATGGTGGGAAACGGTTTCCTTCTCATTATCAAAACTTATGAAAAGAGATTTAAAAATATTCAAGTGTCAGTTTAATAAATAAGGGTTAAGGATTTTGCCGGCAGTAATAACAGTGTATATACTCCTACAGATACTGGTGATCATCGGCCTGACGCATGTCTTGGTGGTGCTCAGGGTCATAGTTGCAAGGTTTTTGGCGGAGGGACCATGGGAATTTCTGAACAACAACTCCAACATCGGAGCCATGATGGCGGGGGCTGTCTTTCATTTCCTCATCATCACCGTCATGTCGCGGGTATGAAGCTCTCCAGAAGTGGACTGTGTGATTTTTATTTTTATTTTTATTTTTTAGGCTCTCTGTGAACCTGATCCTAACTTTGTCTTTGCAGGTCAACAGGATTGTGGCCTTGAAGCTTTGTGAAATAGGTATGATTATTGTTAATATTCCTGTTATTAATACTACCCCCAATCAGGATGCAGGTGACACGCACTGTGCAAAAGTCTTGAGCCATCCCTTAATTATTTATGTTTCTTATAATCTATAAAAATGGACAATAATTCTTTAGCTGTTAGGAAGGCTTTTCTTGGACTTTGGCTGCTTTTTAACATTTTCTGTCCAGCGTCTGACAATATTTATCACCTAAGGTGGTTTCTAAAGTTTTATATAGTGTGAGTGTTTGAGTGTCTGTCTGTTACCAAAATATCATATAAACCACTGGATGAATGTGAGTGAAACGTTCAGAATTAAATCACTGGATGTGTCTACGATGGATTCATTTTAGGAGTCTATTCAGTTCAAGATAGTTGCTCCAGCTAATTGACATTAGCCATCACAAACATATATAAACCTCAGTCAGTTTGACATACTGTATACTGTAATATTTTGCATGACATTGTGCATAGTCATTGTCAAGGTTTGATTAAAACAGCTACAACTTTGTCATGTCTCATCATAAGATAATCTTCATTTTGCATGAATGGCTGCAGGTGATATGAATCCCTTTAAAGAATGCCAGATTTTAAAACAGAGTAATGCTTATTTTTCCTTTTTTGTTTGAGTCACTTAACTCTGATTTATAAATCTTTCAGACATTAATGGTTCCTAAAGTCAAGGGATGAACAAGCATCATGTCAACACATACAGACAACTTGGCAAAAAACCAACTTTAAATTGATCTTTCACTAGAGTCTAGTCTGCAAGATGGCTTTGATTAAAACTTTGCTAGCAGCAGCCTCTCACAAGTACATCATCGGTTTAGATATTTCTTGTCATATCTAAAGAGTTAGCAAAGATAAGACAGGTTGAGTCATGCAAAATCAAATTGTAGCATTTCCAAAGAGCAAATTAAACCAGAAAAATAATTGATCCAGCACAGGATCTCTCCTGTCCTGTGTCGGGCCTAACTCCAACCCCTTTATGTTTCTTAAAGATGTGATTTTCAAATACTGTTCATGTGCTGTAGATATACAGTATCCACTTTCTTCATTCCATTTCTTCATGATTTGCTTTGTTTATTGTACAACACTTTGATCCAGAGTGCATAAACTGGTCCAAGCCAATCTGGCACCCTAAGCAAGATATCAGGTGGTGCTTTGTGTGCAATTTTCTAAATCTCACTGCCAATTTATGAACATTCGCATACCAAATTATAAAATAAAAAGATAAAAGATAATGAAGATAATGCTGGTTTAGCTGAAGTAGATTTCACAGAACATTTTTTAATATGATTTAGGAGATATCACTGTATTCCTTTGGGGAAAGTCTGCAAATAAATTTACATATTTAAATAGGTATAAAGTTACAAATCCTAAAAGCCAAAGCACACTACTCTCAATCAAGGCCAAAAGTTTAATGAATGACTAAAATAGCACAAAGAATGCTGACTCAGACTGCAGGTTTACTTGTGGTTCCTCGAGTTTCTAAAAGTAGAATGGGAGGCAGAGCTTTYAKTTWYCAAGCTCCTCTCTTGTGGAACCAACTTCCAGTTTCTGTCCATGAAGCTGACACTCTACTTTTAAGATTAGACTGAAGACTTTCCTTTTTGATAAATCCTATAG